GTGTTCCTCTAATTATTTTGAGCAGTGTATTTACAAAAAAAAAAAATAGGAAAGAGCTTATATCTTTGCAGGCAAGAATTTTTTTTAAGCTACCTGGAAAACGCACCCATACAAAATGCAGAGTGTGAAAAAAACATTCTACCAACTCCTGGGCATCCCCACCTCCGATTGTTCTGTATTTCTCGTGGAAGGACTAATGAAAACGTTGATGTAACGGACCTATATAATTTTTCAAGTCTAGATTAGACCTAATGCGACAGAGGTTCCTCGTGAAGTCACATCTAGAGATAAATAAATACGTTGTCATAATTATCATAAGAATATAATATATATTGGCATCTTCGTGATTAATTTGATATTTATAATAACCTTGTAACTGATATAATTATTGATCCATGCACGATCAGCCGCGATCTTTACATTCCCAATGTGTTTTTATTTATTGGTATGCCCTTCATCTTCGGTATGCAAGCAATGTAAACAAGTTGTACAATCAAATATTTCGATTTGAAATATGCGTTAATTAATTAAACTTGTTATATTTTTAAGGAGGCTGGAAACGATATCATTACAATCCTATGGGAATATGCAAAAATGTACAGTATGCGTACGGGGTGTCCCGATGTATAATTCAGGTCATAAACATAAATAAGTAACAGTAAAAATAGATGGAGTTAAAATATTTTCAACAAATACTATAGACTAAAACCTGCATATTTATAAATTATAATTCTCTCAAAATTGCATAAAAAAATCTTTATCTACGATCTTGTCAAAAGTGACAGTTTTTTACTTGATTTCCAGTGTATAGTTTAGGCTTTCAGGCCTGTACAATAAAAGTTGTTATTTCACTTCACGCTTTTATTGCATGATTTTTGTTAAAAGGCATATCAGTAATAACATCGGTATTTTACTCATTCATTTTTTACAATGTGTACATCTACTTTACAATTTGATTTAATATCACAATTTTGTTTTGAATTTCTACTTCTACGTAAGATTTTACTGCCGTCGATGACTTGTAATCATCATGCCTTTCAAGTTTTAAAACATTTACATCTGCAAGGATTACATGTTGTGTTTCGTAACAACCACTCGTGGTTTTTTGAATCCCAAATGCGACAATTTTGTCAATTTACGAAGATACGAGATACGAGATAAAAATAGGCCTCATTTCTGAAGATGATTTTGTTCGAAAAATTAGCATCCACATGTTGTTCCATTGCGAATTTCTAATTGTAGCTTGCTTCATTATTTTTAAAATATTGCTCAACAATGAAAACGCGTTGTTCTTTCGTGTAGCGCTCCATTTTTAATAATCCTGAACAGTCAGCTGTCACGCTGTCTTTTTTATTTCGTTGGCAACATTTTACCGCAGAAATGGCGCAACATCAAATTTTGCGTGAATTTTGAGACACCCATTTTTGACAAAAAAATGTACACCACTGACTTTTTTGTAATTTTTATATATATTTTTTGGATTAAGCAACTAAAAATACAACTTTGTCTCTTGAATGTTTTTCGTACCTTGATTAATTTTTGGAGAAAAAAAAAATATAATCCACTTAGTTGCATATCCTTGGACCACACAAGAAACATTATTAAAAATATTCGTTAAGGTATCGCTCGGGACGCCACTGGACTTAACAAATCTAATCAAGTTAGGGTTAAATTAGCCCCTTAACACTACAAATAACTGCCAAATTACAACAAAATTGGGTAAAGGGTGTTTAAGGTATTTATGAAATATAATTTTTTTACAAAAGTTTAACACCCTGTATATTTAGTGATATTCTTAAATTATTTGACAGTAAAAAAATGTTTTTGTTTCTTAAAAATTCCAAGTTCATCAAATAGATGATATCTACTTTTAATTTCAAGAGCAAATTTTTGTTTACTCAAATTCTCATTTTTCAATATAATCTTCGTGCTTGTCTAACATAATGTTTATTGAATTCACAAGCACAAGGTATGCTATAAATGTAATTTTTATAATTTTTGGAATCTTTATTTGGCATGTTGATTACATGTTTGATTCATGATGATTAATTTTTTAAATTGTTTCAGAGGTAGCAAAATACACAATAGAAGAAAAAAAAAACGAAAACTGTGCCAAATAAATGACTTCAGACAATATCTACTATTAAATCAAAACATTGGTTTTTCGTTATAAGTTTCTTTTATCTTTTATAAGCAAGCAAACAACTTGTGCGACCTAATAATAGTTTTTAATAGTGCTTACAGTAATTTCAAAAGTAAATATTTATTTTGGCAGTCTATTTATTAAGTGGATATTTACTAAATTCGGTATGACCATAGTACCTATTTAAAATAAGGGCATTGAAAGAATAAGAATAGTTGTTATTTTATAATAGTAATAAAAATTTTGTTTTTCGATATTTATTAGGTATCTCACAAGTATTTTTTATATTTATTTTTTTTTGGATTACGGAGTTTTTAATTTTGTAAACAGTATAAATTTAATTTGGCCCCTTTTGAAGGATACAGAACGTGTTGTTAAATTTCGAATAAAAAAATTTATACAATTTTTTAAAATTTAGCATCTAAAAAGTCATAGCCGTCTTCGAATTTGCATTTTTATGGAAATTATACTCTCCAAATCTGAGAAAAGACGCCCATTGGCACACCCTGTACAACTATATAATATTATTAAATATCTTACACGATCAATGATAATATTACTTGGCAATGATAAATTTGACTCAAATGTCTTTTTGTGTTATTCTAGCTTCTGGTAACGACTATCATTATTATTTTTTTCAATTACAGAGTTAAAAATAGCCATAATTAACTATGGAAACTTGGATCTGACATTTCCTCCAAATTACCATTCAGATTGCTTAACTACATCTATTCGAGGCTATAAATGGAAATGTCAGTAACCTCCCGACCTTTTAAAAACGAATTAGAAAGAAAAATTAGCCGCCCACCCGGTTCCTCCATCATGCGATTTGACCGGATCCGACAATCGATACTTCCATTTCTAGTTGTTATTTCGCTATTTACTCAAATTAAACATTTTCGTTATTATTACTTGCCTTGACCACGAGGCCCATTATAATTCATAATATAACTTAATGAACACTACGTTACATTTGGTCGGGTCTACACTGATGCGAACACATGGACTACGTCCCAGACTCTCTATTATACAGGGTGTTATTTAAGTAAGCGGCCAAGCTTCAAGGGGTGATTCTTTGAATTATTTTAAGACGAAAAGTTATATAAACATAGGTCGTTTCATGCTTCGTTTTCAAGATACAGGGCGTCAAACTTTTTTAAAAATCGTTTTTTCGTAAAAATCTTAGTAATCCTTTAGCCGATTTTGTTGAAATTAGGCAGTGTTATTTATGGTAGTAAGGGGCTAATTTAGCCCTAACTAGATTAAAATTATTAAGTCCAATGGCGTCCTTAACCAATATTTTTGACAAAGAAAATGTGCGCCACTGACTTTTTTAAAACTTTTATAATTTTTTTTCGCATTAAGCAACTAAAAATACTTTCTTGTCTCTTGATTTTTTTGTATCTTGCTTCCTTTTTGGAGAAAAAAAAATAAAAATCACTTTATTGCTTGTCCCTGGGACAACATACCTAATAAAAAATTAAAACTACCAAACTGTCAAAAACTGAGGTGTACCGTTAATAATTTTAATCTAGTTAGGACACTAAGCTTTTCATGAACAAGATACTGTAAAAATGTGGTGAGAAGAGTGAGAAATTTACAGCATGCACAGTAGTATAGTCCTTCCGAAGTCAATTGAACATGTAAAAAAACGCCTGGTAATAAAATTTAATGACTCATAGGCGTCCCAAAAAAAAGTTTTATGCTAAAGGTAAAAAATTACAATAATTTGTATATAACAATTTGGCCAACAACATATTTTAATTATTTATGTCCTCAAACAATTTTAATATGTTGATGGTAAATTTCGTTTTGTTCCCTTTCAAAAGTCCTCCAAAATGCCATGATGTATTAATATTATTTTTCCGTTTCGCAATTGTAATATCAATGATTAATAGGAGGTGTCTATAATAAATTAAAATTACCTGAATCACACCAAATTCCGCATTGCTGCACTGCACTGCTGGGCAATTTACCAACCACTTGTCAACAGCTGAGATTTATTGCCCAGTAGCCCAATGCAGCTGTGTTTGTATTTTGTTTGCCTGCGCTCGCATGCTTCAAATGGGCGTATACATTTCTAGCACCCCCACGTTTAGTTCGACCAGACATGTCGACATGGTATGGCTAAATAAATATGGGAACAAGTTTTTCAAATATTTCAATACCGAGTTGCTGCGTCAGCGGCCGAATCTGTACATACATGTACAGTACATGCGGTACATACTGTCAACCTCTTGGTTCTTCGATTGATATCGGAAAGACTTATACCTACAGGGTGGGAAAGTCCCCATGGTTCATCGGCCGTTACGTGAGAGCGATAAAGAAAGTCATAGAAATCCGTGCGATAGAGAAAGATGGCTATAATGAAGCTGTCTAATAGTCACCGCCCATTTCGCCCTTCCACAAATAAGATCCACTTCTTATTTTTGGAAGAGCGAAATGGGCGGTGACTATTAGACGCCTTCATTATAGCCATCTTTCTCTATCACACGAATTTGTATGACTTTCTTTATCACTCTCACGTAACGGCCGATGAACCATGGGGACTTTCCGACCCTGTATATGTCTTATCTTTCTTAAATCCATGAAAATAATATAAATCCAAACAAATTGTGAGGTTATGATTAATCTGTTTTATTTTCTGAAAATGGTGGGAAGTTAAAAGTGTGAATTCTTCGTTTGAATCACCAATCGCGCTCCTGGCCGAAAATTTAAAGTTATTTTTCAATATTCTAACATTGTTAATTTTTTTTAGATGATAATAATTTAAACAAAAATATCCTTAACGTATTTGTGTGCGCTCTGTTCAAAACTGATTTATTTTTTGGTATTCATTGGAAAGTTATATTTCCAGGTGTGCACGATAGACGACTTGGAGGATGGGAAGGAGTACGTGGTGAGCGGGAAAGGGGAGCTTTTCAAGAAGATCGAATACACCAAGACCGATACCCTGAAGTCCAAGAGGCTGTCCAACACGAAATTCACTGTCCACACCGTGAGCTCGCCCAAGGTGATACCCCCAGACTGTGTTCGGCCTCGAATAGTAACTATTATTAGGCATGGGATTAAGCCCAGGAAGGTAAGGAGGCCGCTGTCGTCGTTTGTCCATTGTCATTTCACAAATTCAAGAAATGAGTCGGTTTAATAACTTTTCAAAGATTATTCTAGTCACCAATGTAAATATCCTTTTTATGATTTATAAGGATAAAGTAATTTTAGATAACGTTTTTCAACATTATCTTGCCCTTATCTTTTGTTGGGTGGTTTATCGTATTTCCTGGGCAGAGAAATGAAAGATAGTTCAAAAGCTCATCTTAACATTTTGATCTGTTTAACCCATTTGATCCTACCGTCCTTTATAAGGGCCGCTGAATGTAGAGCGCGATAAAATCAAGATCAGCGTTGAAATTCTAGATGTCGCTATTGGTATAGTTTCAATGATTATTAGTGCAACCGCAAACAGGATAAAAGTGATTTGTTTACGTTCTTGCGGCACGTGTCGAATATTTTTGGTACTCTTGCAAAGTGCGAATCGACAATGGATAATTGGAGGTATGTAAATATTGTTTTTTCAATAAGTAATAGTGTTTTTGTAACTTACATCACGAAGCTAAATGTACAAATAGTTATTGAGTATAAAATACTAGTCCGTTTTTATTTATTTTCATGGGCACGTGGTCATAAAAAAGAGGTGTTCTTTTAAAAGGACAGTAGGAAAATCCACTACTGTTCGGTGTAAATGCTAATAAGTATATATTCTTGTTTCTAGTTATTGGAAAAAGCCGTTAACCCTAGCCGAATTAGGCGAAGAATTAGAAAACATCGGTGAATCGGAGATTCCAAATGATATTATAATTTTTCCTCCGGAGAACGCCAATGATCCCGTTACTGATGAGGATTCAGGTGATGAAGATCAGGTTGTAATGGAAAATCTACCTGGATCTCAATTGAGGGTAGAGGTAGAAATCAAAATCCCTGAGGAAAAAGTAGGGACGTCTGTAATATCCGAAGATTCGGATTCTGAGGACGATAGGCCCTTGTCACACTTCGTTTTGCGCAAGCCTAAAATAATGAAAAAGTTCTCGTACAAGACTCAAGATTTGCAGCCCGATTTTCCACCTTGGATTCCAGTTCAGACAGTACGAAACCAGCAATCTCCAGCCACCATTTTCAAGATGTTTTTTGACGATGACGTCATTGATTTGATTCTTCATTATAGCAATAATTACGCACACCAAAAAAATCTACATGATGATATATCAAAGAACGAAATGTATTGTTATATTGGTATATTGCTTCTCAGTGGATATTGCATTGTTTCTCGAAGAAATATGTACTGGCAAAATTTAGAGGATACTAACAATAAAATGGTGTGTGCTGCCATGTCTCGTGACCGATTTCATTATATAATGCAAAATATTCACTGTAACGATAATGGTCGATTAGACAAAGATGATAGGTACTCAAAAATGAGACCACTTTTTGACATTTTGAATAAAAAGTTCTTCGAACATGCGCCTGCAGAGGAAAACCACAGTGTGGATGAAGCCATGGTGCCATACTTTGGTCGCCATGGCTGCAAGCAGTTCATTCGTGGAAAACCCATTCGTTGGGGCTACAAGCTATGGGTGGGAGCTACAAGACTTGGTTACATCAATTATTTTGACCCTTACCAAGGCTCATCCTCAAAGTTACCGGAGCAGTATAAACATATGGGATTAGGTTCCGCCGTGATCCTGAAATATGCTGATGTTTTACAGAAGATGCCATATCACTCATTTCATCTATTTTTTGATAATTATTTCACCTCTCTGTCCCTTCTAAAAGAACTTACACTGCGAAAAATCAAAGGTACTGGAACAATTAGAGAGAATCGGATCCCACAGTGTCCTCTAAAATCATCACATGAACTAAAGAAGGTCGAAAGAGGTGCCTTTGATTATTCCTTAGCTGACGATAACATGGTGATCTGTAAATGGAACGACAATAGCGTCGTAACTTTGGCTTCAAATGCGTCATCAGTATTCCCACTAAATAGGGTCAAAAGATTTTCACAATCTCAGAAAAAACATATTCAAGTCGACCAACCGTTTTTGATAAAATTATATAACGAAAATATGGGCGGCGTAGATAGAAGTGACCAGAATATTAGTCAGTATAGAACAACGATACGTGGAAAAAAATGGTATTTTCCATTACTAACCCACTGCATCGATATGGCAGTCCAAAATTCTTGGCAATTACAAAAGTGCAATGGGGGGAAGATGGATCAGCTCGCTTTTAGACGATCAATTGCCATTGAGTTACTGGAAACTTATAAAAGGACTACAAAGAGGGGACCATCGAAGGCACCAAAAACACAGCACGAATATTCTCGTTTTGATGGACTCAATCATCTCATACTCTATCAAGATCAGCAACGGAGATGTGCGTCCTGTTATAAGAAAGTAAATTTTATCTGCAATAAGTGTAATGTAGCCCTTCACCCTAAGGATTGTTTTTTCATGTACCATACCATGTAGAATTTGACTAATAAAATGTTTAAAAAATATTGCTTGCTCAGTATCCTATGATCCTACCGTCCTTTTAAAAGGACACCTCGTTGTGACCAATTAAAAGCTTCCATATTTTTTTTACAATTTTTTCTAGCTCCAATAATCTATTTTTAACAAACTTTACATAAAAACAGTAATTTTTGAGGAAAAAAACAGTTTCAGGATTAAATGGGTTAAGAGATATAGGGCGTTTTTTTATTGATTTATATACGTAATAATTTTTTTATATTTAAAATTTCAAATTTTAAAGTTTTTTCTGTTTAAGAATGTAGAAGGCATTGGAAATTTTATTACTGCTGATTCTAGTATGAAAATCTTAGGTCCTGTCCAAGATTGTGAGAATAATTTGTATGCATACTCTATTATTTATCAATTATAATAATATTAAGCACGGTCAGTAATTGACTAATTTTTGCAAGGTTTCCAAATCCTAGATTTTTTAACTGAAACGGAAACTTCACGAATTAAAAACTGTAGCTTTATATAAAAAAATATTCTGCATTATAAATCTATAGAAATAGGGAAAGACAAAGCAAGAGTAAGATTCTAGAGTTATGTTAGGTTTATTACTACTACCTTAAGGAAAGTTAAAAAAAAAGTGATGTTCCAAAAATGGTTCGTTTTTGAAATAAAAAGAAAGATATTGTGTTTTTTTGGAAACACCATTATACATACAATTTTCAAAACAACACAGTCACACACACAAAAAAGTTGTACTTTTCATGCGACATGTTATCCGCCTCCTGATCACACGAATCCGGTGTCAGAATTGAGCTATCACATCACAGGAATTTCATAACCTCAAAAAACAGGTAAAAAATAACAAACATTCACGAAAAAGTGCTAGGAAAAGTACAACAAATTTTGTTTTCTATATTCAAATGTTCATTTATATGATTAAGACTCCGCAGAACGTGAATCCGCGGTTAGAATTGATGGTTGGAACATAATTAAGGTCAGATATCACGAATTTTCAATAAATAACAGATTCACGCCAAATTTGGTTTACGGGGGTTTTCGGGGTCGCTGATCATGGATCCGAGGTCAATTCTGCAAAATTCAAGATGGCGGAGTCGAGATGGCCGACCAAAATTTCAAAAAATAACAGATTCGCGCCAAATTTGGTATACGGGGGTTTTCGAGGTCACTGATCACAAATCCAAGATCAGATTTACAAAATTTGTTTTTACAAATTTAATCAATTATTAAGAACGCTACAACATGATTGGGTACTCAGGTTATAAAGTAAACAAAAATTTTACAAAATGAATTTCGCAATTCTGATCTCGAATTCGTAATCAGCGACTTCGAAAACCCACGCATATCAAATTTGACGGGAATGTGTTATATTTTTAAATTTTGGTCGGCCATCTTTGATCCGCCATCTTAAATTTTGCAAAACCTTGGATCCGTATACCAAATTTGGCACGAATGTTATTTTTTGAAAATTTGTTCGGCCATCTTTGATCCGCCATCTTAAATTTTGCAAAATTGACCTCGGATCCGTGATCAGCGACCCCGAAAACCCCCGTATACCAAATTTGGCGCGAATCTGTTATTTTTTGAAAATTCGTGATATCTGACCTTAATTGACCTGTTTTTTTGAGGTTAGAAAAAAAAACATCAATTTTGACCGCGGATTCACGTTCGGCGGGTTTTAACCATATAAATGAACATTTGAATATAGAAAAAAAGTGTTGTATTTTTCCTAGTACTTTTTCGTGAATTTTTGCTATTTTTGACCTGTTTTTTGAGGTTAGGAAATTCCTGTGATGTGATAGCTCAATTCTGTCACCGGATTCGTGATCAGGAGGCAAAAATACTATGGATAACATGAAAAGTACAAACCACTTTTTTTTTTTGTGGCTGTGTAATCAGTGGCTTGAATTTCTGGGGTTTTTAGTGAAAGTAACTCCTGGTATATCTACTTACCATTGGTACACATTTATCTATGAATTCAATGGATTTCTACTTTTATTTTAAATCATCATAACGTTTTCAGATGTATTTTAGAAAATTTTGTTTTTATTATTTCAATATCCTGCATTTTGAAAATTTATTGGTTTGTGGTTCCATTTTTATAATATACTAGCGGCCCGTTCCGGCTTCGCACGGATGGACATTTATTTTAAACATTTTGGGATATAAAAAAATATAGCCTATGTTACTCAGGGATAATGTAGCATTCTAATGGTGAAAGAATTATCGAAATCCGTCCAGTAGTTTTTGAGTTTATTTGTAACAAACATACATACATACAAAAATACAAATCTTTCCTCTTTATAATATTAGTATAGATTTAATTTTTAATCTCTTTCATTTAAAATTACTCAAAGAATTGCCCCTTAAAGTCTGTCAACCTACTTAATTAATTGACACCCCGTATATCAAAATTTTGAATTGGAATTGTGTATCCTAAAAAAACAGGAATGTGTTATGAAAAATCTTCTTTGTTAATCAGTTGTTTCTTGATAAAAATCCTCATGCTGAATTTTATTATTCAGTTATTTGTGCAGTTATTACTTCAATTTTTTTAAAATGTGCATCAATTATATAAATACTGTCCAGAGTTTAAATAGTTTTGAGAATTAATTTCACATTTTATAAAATTGTGATTGTAGTTACTTGAATTAAAGGCATTTTTGTCTTCTTTTCTTTCCATTGTTTATATTTAATTTCCTTTTGTCTGGTCATTACAAATTTGTATTCGTATTCAGTCCCTTCATCGTGGTGTCATCAATCTTCTATTCATGTAATGCAATGTAATGAGTAATTAACATTAACAGTTTTAATTTGCATGCATAACGTAGTTTTAAGGAGAAAATTTGTCATAGATTAAGCATGTTGTTTGTCCCTATATTAAAATTAAGTATAGCAGGTCCTGGGGTGTAATAACAATCTTCATTAGAAGAAGAAAACAAGTAGGAAAAATTTATTATTTTAAATTTAGAGTAGTGTCGAGGGAAGTTTAAAGGATTTATATAATTTTCAGTCTAAGATATTTAATTTTTCATAATATTTTGTTAGCTACCTAGTTGTTAAGTGTTAAGCAAACTAAAATATCACCCAATTTCTTGGAAAGAAATTTAAGAGAATCACTTCCTGGTGACTCCGTTACGAACTATAATAACCGTAATCATATAATTACAGAACGTATTGTTACGCAATATTTACAATGAACACAAATGACTAGGAAACAAATGGTTATAATTCATTATATAATCTCCAAATTACAACTCTCGAACCTGTTACATTGTTTCTTCAAAACATGTTAGTATTCAGTCTCCAATCGTCAAAGAAGGATCTCACTGGATCTCTCTCGGTTTCAGATCCTACGACTACTACTCAACAAAAGGAACTCGTCCAGCATGGACCAAGTACTAAGCGCATTCTCCGAAGTAGCTCAATTAGCCGTGAGGAAAGTTTTTTCGTTATCCGGACAACCCGTCGTAGATCTACCTCAACTGTTTGCCACCGAGGACGTCTTTTTCGTGTACGGCAATGAGCGGCCCTCGCAGGACGACTTCGAATTGGAATTCGAGGAGAGTAAGGCCATACAGCAGTACAAGAAGACGCCCGGTCTTCGAAATGGGTAAGTAATATTTCGTTCGCTAACTTTCGTTACGAGAAATATTTTTCTAGTGCCGGACCCAAGCCGAAAATGCCTAAGAAGGAGTTGAACAGGACTTACGAATCTGAGGAAAGTTTGCTGAAGAAACTCAGTGAGGATAATAATATCATTCTGCCGTACCCATTGAAAAATAAATATGTCGTAGGAAGGACGATAGGAGACGGTGAGTGTTAAAAATGAGCGTATTTAACAGATGAACGAAAATATTGCTTTTTAGGAAATTTTGCTGTGGTTAGATTGTGTAAGGAGTCGTCAACAAATAAAGAATACGCCCTGAAAATTATTGACAAGTCAAAGTGTAAAGGAAAAGTAAGTGTATTTTGAATATTCATTGACGTAAAGCAAGTTGAATAAACAGTTCTTGAAAAATTGAAAAAATTTTAACATTGGTTATCTTGAATGAAAAATTAATAGACAGAGTGTTATTTCACACACAAGCCATTCTTGTTCTATCAAATTAATTTGATTCGTGTTAGAAGTTAGTAACTGATATTCATAAGCTAAACACAGTGCTTTAAAAAATCACTTTTTATAAAAAATTTTAAATGCTTTAAAAATATATTTGATATCTATCAGATTGGTAGGTAAATAGAAACGGCAAATATCAATACTGAAAAAAATTTTTTATGTTCGTCGCCTTATCCACGTTAACAAAAAAATATGACAAATTTAAAATAACGTCTTGCAAAGTCATACAAAAACAATCAGTTTTTACAAAATTATTTTTCATTGTAATTTCGCTCTAACACCCATAATTTTATGTAATCGATAAAAAAAGTAACAACCGAATTCGGAAGATAAGAGGAGTTTAAAAAACAAATTATAACTCGACCACTTATTTGATTAAAAAATATACAGGGTGTTTACTAAGTTCTTGTACAAACTTTAAAGGGTGAATCTTTGACGAATTTTAAGATAAAAAGTTTGTTGTGTGAACATGGATCTGCAATGGCTTGGTTCTTGAAATACAGGGCGTCCAAAACATTTTTTTTTTTGGTATTTTGATTATATTTTTGTTCAATAACATGGCAATTTCATGAAATTCGGGAAACTGGGAGTATTGTGATGAGAAACTCAAATATTTACTTAGTTTTTTGTTTAATGTTAGAGGGCGCCACATACAGGGTTGTCTGTGGATTTAAATAACCATAACTTTTTTGTGTCGCACTGCATGTCATTTTTGACTAAACATACCTATTCTCCATTCAATTTTACGTACAAAAAGTACTCTTAGTATTTGTCGCTGAAAACGGGTTGTAAACGGATTGTAAAAAAACGGGTTGAAAGTTAAATCATTAAAATTTTTTGAAAAACAAGTGAGAAAATGTGTCTTTTCTTGACTATATAGCAATGTGACAAACTTTGGTCATTTATATGACTAAGACTTTACTACTTCTACAAGAAAGTTAATAACACAAATTTTTTTGGACGTTCTGTATCTCAAGAACGAAGCCGTTGTGAAGCCATGTTTGTATGAACTTTTTATCCTAAAATTAGTCAAAGATTTACCCTTTAAAGTTTGTACAAGTACTTAATAAACACCCTGTATCTTTCAGATCAGAATTCTGGAGAGCTCAGGACTATTTTAAAAAATTGAATCCCACTTAAAGTTACACTATCGACTAGTTATTTTCCAAAACTACAAGTGTATGGACATTTTAATTATAATTTTGCCAAGTCATGTGTCAAGAAAATTATGTAGAATAAGAATTCAATTTTCTAGTTTTATAATCCAGGTAAATCAAACTCTAAAGTACTGTCATGGATTTTAGTTTAAAATATAAGAACTGGTTTTAAAAGTGTATTAAAATCCAATTATGCGATGATCTTCACCTAAACATTAACTTCATATTAATGAAACGATTGAGAAATTAATTTCTACAACCGGTCCATCAAGATCACCAGATCTGAATCTTATGGATGTTACAGGACGACAATATCAATTATTTTTCCTTGTTTTAGGAAGACATGATAGAGAACGAGGTAAAGATTCTCCGGAAAGTGAACCATCCGAATATAATGGCGCTAATAGCCGAGCAAGACACGAAATGTATGCTTTATTTGGTCTGCGAATACGTAGCAGGTATCTATGAGCTCTATAACGATTTCCTATTCCCTAAATCTATTTCTGAGAAGAAGTAACTATTGTCCTTATCTGATTTTTAGATAACTTTTGTTTGTTTCAGGCGGAGATCTGTTTGATGCAATAACGGTGGCCCAGAAGTTCCCCGAAGACCAAGCCGCCCTGATGATCAATCACTTAGTGTCGGCGTTAGCCTACCTACACAATCTCAATATTGTTCATCGCGACGTTAAACCCGAAAATCTCTTAGTACGTTGCAAAGTTGTTGAATTAGAGTATTCTTCATTGATTTTTTTATCGTAATTAATTTTCAGGTCGAGGTGGATGGTAACAGAGTTGTGTACTTGAAGTTAGGAGACTTCGGCTTGGCTTGCGAAGTGACGAGACCCTTGTTCACTGTCTGCGGTACTCCGACTTATGTGGCGCCTGAAATACTAGCGGAATCGGGATATGGGCTAAAGGTAAGTTTCTTTAATATTTAGGAGAGAGCAGATTAAGGAATTTTATTGATTAAAATGTAATTCTTCCCTCTAAGCACTGTTAATATTCTGAAACAAACTTACAATTTTTTCGTTTCCGTTCTTAAGAACAAGGGACAAATTGAGCAACATTAACAATATTGTAAAAAAAAGTTTTAGGAACAAAACTGAAAGAAAAATTCTAGGAATGTTCTCAGTAACAAAAAAATTGGGACCTAGAATAAAAACGGGAACGAAATGCACAGGGAACGTTTTCGGAAATAACTTTTTGTGTCCATTCTCAAGAACGAGGGACAAATTGACCAATATTAACAATATTGTAAAAAATGTTTTAAGAACAAAACTGAAAGGAAAATTCTAGGAATGTTGTCAGTAACAAAAAAATTGGAACCTAGAATAAAAACAGGAACGAAATGCACAGGGAATGTTTCCGGGAATAACCTATTCTTATGACAAATTTTAACAGTACAGGTAACATGAGCTTTTCAATTCCTTGCAAATACCGCTTTCGTTTATTATTGCCATAATTTACGTATTTCGTTCCTGATTTTGTTCTTATCAAGATTGCTTTTTATTCTGAATTTATTTTCTCACACAGAATATTCTCCATTTACTTATTCTTGCCATGGATTCTAAATGCACCACCATTTATAATTACCATAGCCTCTGCAGTTTGTTTGTACCAGGAACATCTCGTATTTTTTACCTGTTTTCGTTCATTACAGGGTCTTATTTTGGTATGATTCTTAGTGACATTGTTTTATCATTTGGTGTAGTTTGAGAAGTAAGAACAATAAAAGGGAACGAAATACATGGGATATTCTCGGTAAAACTTATTCTTGCGAAAGATAACAGTAACTTTCCCATTCCCTTTTAAATATTGCCTTTGTATAATTACCATGGACTTTATTCTTGAATTATAGGGAGTAGAAGGAATGAGAGAAAGGGGGCGTGTCTCTACTAAAACTCATTAATCGGTATTCTTGAATGGTGTTCTATTGAGTAATGATAGAAGAATTGTTCCCTATTTCTTCTATAGTTTTTTTCTCGGGAACAGGCAGGGATCATTAATCCTAACCCTATATTTTTTGACATGTTTCACAAATTACGAATTCCACAATTTGTCTGTCTAGTTACTGTTTTGTGATGATATCCTTCGGGAACTTTCGTATAATTGATGTTTACTTGAAGGATTGTACAGTACTCGAATAAAATAATTATAGAATAAAATAGATTTACTTAAAATAGTATTAAAATATTTGTAAGTTAGCCCTCATTGTCTCTCTAGTGTAGCTGGGTGTAAACCTCCCAGTGTACATTTGTTTTTTACCCTCAATATAATCTATTAGAAGTTCTTTTTGTTTAGAACTTATTGGATTTAGCTTCGGTTTTTTATTGATTTCCATTTCATTTCTTTTTAAGACCTGACACTGACAATCAAATAACAATAATAAGTAGCACTTATTTCATGACTAGCTCATCACTAGTTTTCATTCTACCGCCTATTTACTGCTTTCTGATTGGTCGGTACATTTGACAACATTGTTCCTCGTTCTTCACTTTCTTGGCTCGATCTCTTTGTGTCAAGAATACAGTATGAATTTTGTGATAGAACAGTAGTAGAGCGAAATGAGGGAACGTTCCCCAGGGAACAATCTATTCTCTCACTGTCAAGAATCGAGCTCCATAGATTGCACATTTCGTTCCTTCTGCACTTATTTTCGTTTATTGCAAGACCGTTCTGTGTCTTATTTCAGAAAAGTTCTTGGTGAGAATTTTCCTTCTTTTAGTTCAGTTTGTGAACTGAACGAAAACTGGAATGAAACACGCATTGTGCATTAACTTCTTGCAATGGATTTGAAAAATTCGTTCTATTCTGTACATACTCAGTCTTCCGAGTTCTTAGCGAGATTATATCATCTTTTGACGCAATTTGTGAACTCAGAATGAAATACACAGGATATTCTCTGCAATAATGTATAGATGTATAGAAACAAATTTTTTTCGTTCTTTGTTAAATACTGCCTTTATTTATAATTACCATTTCGTTCCTTGTTTTGTACTTATTTTCATTCATTGGGAGACCACTCCTGTATCTTGTTTCAGAACAGTTCTTGGTGAGAATATTTCTCATTTTAACCAGTGTTTCAATCTGTGAAGTGAACAAAAACGAGAATGGAACACACTGGGGACATTCTCTTAGAAATATCTTATTGCGATGGATTTTAAAAAATTCGCCTTTGTTTTTAATATCTTTTAATTTTATTCTTACTCAGAACATTTCTTATTCTGTATTTATTTTCCTTGATTATAGAACCATCCTTGCATCTTGCTTCAGAACGGTTGTTTGTGAGATTGTTTCATCTTTTGGTTCAGTTTGTTAACTTAGAACGAAATATGCAAATGATATTCACAGTATTTTTTTCTCTCATTGATTATTAAATACCACTTCATTTATAATTGCCATAGATTATACGTTGCTTTTTTTCTTATTCTGTAGTTAATTTCACTTACTGCAGGACCGTTCTCTGTCATGTTTCAGATGAATTTTTAGTGAGAATGTTTCTTATTTTAGTTCAACTTGTGAAGTGAACAAAAACGGGAACAGAATACAAAGAGAACATTTTTCGTTAACTTATTTTTGTAACAAATGAATTAAAAACATATCACGTTCATTGATATAATCACCATAACTTGTGCATCTCGTTCCAGATTGGGTTCACATCAGGAACACTTCATATTCTGTACTAATTTTCGTTCATTACAGAATGGTTTTTAGTGATATTGTTTTATATTTTGGTGCTGTTTGTGAAGTAAGAACGAAATACCCAGGGGATATTCTTGGTACTAACTTATTTTTGCGATAGATAGCACCAACCCTATTGCTTATACTGCCCATAGTTGGCATAGATGGTGCATTTCGTTCCTGATTCTGTTCACACCAGGAATGCTTTTTATTCTGTAATTTTTGTTCATTACTGAACTATTCCTTTATTTTGTTTGCAGAATAGTTTTTTGTAAGAATGTTTCTTGTTTTATAGGCTACTGATTATATCCAAAAAACAGGGTTAAAAGGAACTATGACGTTCAAGCAATTTTATTGCATGAATCGTTCAAAGGGTCATTTTAGATGAAAAAACCGCGGAGTACTATTAAATTAGAGGGTGGAAATTGGATAGGGGTGAAAACATACCCCTTTCAGTGTTTTAATTGTAGTTCGAAAATGAAGAAAAATTTCGCTATATTTCATAGGAAAAATTATTTAGAGAATTGAATAAAATTTTCTTCAAAATAAGAGGTTGTACCAATTTTTCGATTTTCGTCGCGTTTACCTTCATCCATTTTAATTCTCATTTTTTGCAAAAAAGGAAGGAAATAAGACGTTCAAGGATGTTCCACGTTGACTAGTTCGAAGAGTAATTAAAAATGAAAAAACCGCGGGGTGCTATTAAATTAGAGGGTTGAAATTGAAGATAGGGGTGGAAATGCATTTTTTGCAGTCTTTTAAATATGGCACGAAAACGAAGAAAATATAGTTCAGAGGAAAAATTATAAAAAAAATAGATTTAAAAAAATTAAAAGAAAAAATTTATGCAAAAATCGCTAATAAACAATTTAAAAAAAAGCAAAAAGTAAGATTTTTTATTTTTTTTACTTTTTCGACTAATTTTTCTTTTAGTAGAAGTAGTCAAAGAAAATACAAAAAAACTATATGCTTCAAAATGATGCGAAAAGTAGAAAAAATAAAAAAATATATTTTTTGCTTTTTTTAAATTGTTAATGATTTTTTGCATAAAATTTTTCTTTTCAATTTTTTAAATAAGCCATTTCGATGGGAAAATCAATTCTCTACAAAATTTTTCCTATGAATTATACTGAAATTTTGTGCTATTTCTATGAGTACTGGATATAATCAATTTCTTAGTATGAATATGCCCTTGTACAAATTTAAAATATAGTAATTTGGGAAAGTTTGAAACAAGATTATGACTAACCGAATATGAATTTGAAACATACAGAGTGTCCCAGAATATGTGGGCAATCTGTCGGATTTATACAGGGAACGTTCAAATAACATGACAAGTTCGTATAAAAATTTTCCCTAGAGGGTCCCCTTATGGAGATACAGGTCCTAAAGGACACCCCTGGAAATTGATTTTTTTAAATAACTTTTAAAATACTTTGTGTAATTTAATTATTTTTAGGAAAAAAACAAATGTAAATTAAAGGGACATTATTTTAGATAGGTACAGAAATAACTGAAATAATAATAATGAAATTCTCATTGGTTCATTGCTCTTTACAGAAGTAATAAAAATCATATTAAACAAAAATAGTTTTTTCTCAAAAACAGTTCATTTTATCGACATCAACCAAGAATGTCTTTTTTAGTTTAAGGTTCAAGCGATCTAAGAATAGTATTTTTATGCCTTTATCATACCCCACGGTTTTTTCATTTTTAATGACCCTTCGAACAAGTCGTGATGAAAATCCTTGAATGTCTTATTTCCTTCCTTTTTTGCAAAAAATGAGAATTAAAACGTATAAGAATAAACATGACGAAAATCGAAAAATTGGCTAATTGTAAGTTTAAGCGCCATTTATCAGTCAATTTTCATCCAAAAATACTATACAACCTCTTATTTTGAAGAAAATTTTATCTACTTTTTTTTTCAATAAAGCAATACCTATCTGTACCTATCTCGTACTCAAAAAAAAAAAACTAGAGGTAAAAAAGTAAAAAATAAAAAAATCGAATTATTTGCTTTTTTTTCAAATTGTTTATTAACGATTTTTTCATCAAATTTTCCTTTTAAATTTTTTAAAAACAAGAAAATTCATTTTCGACTGTTATCAATTCATTTTTAACAATTTTTGCAACGAGTTGTGAAAGTGTTTTATGCATGCAATATGAATTGGCTCATATGAAATCAAAAACTTATTTTGTGTGTTGTGAACTAGATTTTTTCTACAGAGGCCTTGTAACCTTTTTTGTTGCCATTCTTGTACCCATTACCTGTGAAATTTACGTAGTCTATTATTCATCGTTTCCATTTATGACGGACAGAAACGATTATAGGTAAACGAATTGGAGAAGTAGTTCCTATGTAACGGGAATGGGAACGGCAATAGAAAAAGTTTATAAATCAACCTTTATAGTTATATAAATAATAATATGCTGATTCATTTATGCATGTCTGGTTAAAAAAATTTCATTTTTGTTTGAATGATACCTTTCTCAAGTATTCGAATCCTTATAGATAGACGTGTGGGCCGCTGGGGTCATTCTCTATATCCTTCTCTGCGGCTATCCGCCCTTCGTCAGCCAGGACAACGACCAAGAGAAACTGTTTGACTGCATTCTGTCCGGCCAGTACGACTTCCCCGACGAGTACTGGCATGAAGTCTCTGCCTCCGCCAAGGAACTGATCCAGCACATGCTCCAGCTGGCGCCCGAGCTACGGTTCTCCGCCGAGGACGTCCTGGACCACCCCTGGCTACAGCTTGCTAACTGTTAAAATAAGCGCCTTTATTTTTTTAATTGGAATTATGTACAAATCCACTTAGCTGCAATAGTTCGAGCGATGAGGGGCAGAAGTAGGCAAGTAGAAACGATATAATATCGAGTTGACTCGGACCGAGAAATACGAGATTTATATATTGTACATAAAGCACGCATAAACGACTTCCATTTTTTGATACGTAGATAGTCGTTATTTTTTGGCGTAGTAAGAGCGACGGGAATGAAATTTCACCATGCTCTCGACAAATATTCACGGTTTGGGAAATTTGGTTTGCTCGTGGAATTAAAATTAAAAATTTTGAATCATTTTTTTATAGGCTTGCTATTGTTTTTTCGAGATCGGTTCCTACTTCTCATTATTCTTCCGCTTCATTTCTAATTATTCCTCTTAATATCTTCTCGTGCTCCTCATTATACTCCTTCCATTTCTATTCTTAGTTATTCTTCTTTGCATTTGTCTCATATTCGTTTTCAAATCCTAACTATTCCTCTTCATTTTTTTGTGCTTATTATTTGTCTTCAATTTCCAATTATTTCTCTTTAAATTTTTCTCATATTTCTTTCTCTTCAATTCATAATTATTTCTCCTCGAGAATGCAATAAATAAGTAAGGAGAATAATGCAAAGAGGTATAATTAGGTGTTGAGGAAAGAGAAGCACAATGAGAAGAACGTAAAGAGTAATTAGGAATTAAAGAAGAGAAATAATGAGAGGCACGAGAAGAATCCAAAGAGGAATGGTTAGGAACTGAAGAAGACAAATAAGGAGAAACATGAGAAGAAGAATGTAAAGAAGAATAATTGAAAATTGAAGATGTGTTTTCTCCAATCCTCAATTATTTCTTTTTACATTCTCCTCATTATACTTTAATTTCTAATTATTTATTTTTACGTTCTTCTCATACTTCTCATTATTTGTCTTCTTCAATTCTTAACAAATTCATTTACACTCTTCTCAGTTCTTATTTCTCCTTTTTAATTCCTAATTCCTTGTTATAATTCTTCCCGTCATACTACTTTCTCTTCAATTATTTTTCTCATGCTTCTCATTATTATATTATACTTTTTTTTCAATTCCTGAATGTTCTTCTCAAGCTGCTTATTCATCTTCCATCCTAACAATTCTTTGCATTCTTGTCACTATTCCTTTCCCTCTTGAATTCTTGATTATTCTTCTACACGTTTTTCTCGTTCTTCTCATTATTATTCATGCGCTTCTCTTTATCTCTCTAGTTCTTTGATGTAAATTATTCCGGATATCAAGGGTTTTGGGCCCTGAATGATGTTCAATAGCAAGTTTATAATCGTACTACCCAGGAAACCTGAATGATTTGTTGCGATGTTACGAAAAAACTTTGACAATACTTGAGGTTTGCATTCTGCCTAAAAAAAATTTGTGATGTATGGATTTTAAAATAGTTTATAGCGTTTTTTATTAATTAACAGGAATTGTCCGATGATGCAATGCCGACATGTTTCTCACACAAGCGTGTGATTTTATTCGGTTCTGGCATTAACCAGTTAGGGGCGTAGCCGGGAAGGCCGATTTGTAATTTATTCACAATTTATGTGCTCATTTACTAATCACTACGTGAAATGTCCCGAAAGCATTTTTAAAAGCATATCATTACACCTAGGCTTTTTAACCAAAGCTTTACTTTGAATTTTGTGATCTTTATACGACGTATACACGAAAATTATATTATACCAAAGTGCATTTTTTATATCACGGTATTATTATTGTTAATACGAAATTGGAGTACCCCCCAAATAAAACGGACTGAAAATGTTTATTTTATTGAATTTGCTGTTGCCATTGAGGAATTATTTATTTAGAAATAAAGGGAACGGTTTTCTGTCTCGTACACTTATCACTGTTTTTAATAAATTAAATATTTTCAAATTTAAAATCTGAGACTTATTTCGACGTATAAGTATTATTTATTATAGTTATTTAATTTTATGTAAGCCTAGCGTACACCTATCTAGATCTATATTTTACTTTTTTATACAATCAGTTATAGATTTCTCGCTGTAAAATGCAGTAGATATTAATGTAAATAAATTATTTAAGTAGTAAAGGGTTTGTTATTTCGTTCCGTCCCACTTTCACCTGAAACCAAGCGAAATTTAAACGAAATGGAAAATCGTAAGCAGAACAGTTGTTTGAAATAATGTTTACTACTAACCAGGCCTGTGAATTAATTTTGAAGGACTACGATACATTGTGTAACTAACAGCTCCGAAGCTGACGAATTATGAGCGGGAAGTTTTATTTTTCCTGTTAAATTCAAAGAAAAGTTTTGCTGAAAGTCATCGAATGCTGTTGGAAACTTACAGTGAACATACTCCATCAATAAAAACGTGTGAGTATTGGTTTCGACGTTTTAAAAGTGTTGATTTCGATACAGTTGACAATGAACACTGGACAACTGAAAAAGTTCGAAGATGACGAACTGGAAGCATTACTTGACAAAGATTCGTGTCAAATGCAAGATGAACTTGTTGAATTGTTGAATGAACAACAGATTCCAAACGTTTCAAAAGCAAGGAAATTGGGTGCCATACGAATTAAAGTCGAGAGATGTTGAACGTTGACTTTTCATATGTGAGCAATTGCTTCAACGGCAAAAAAAGAAAATTTTTTGCATCGAATAGTCACTGGCGATGAAAAATGTACACAACTTTACACAATAAAGCCTTGAATTTTTTTTTTAAATTTCAAAAAAGTGATATATATTATCTTTTAAGTAAATGAAGATATTTAATCTTATTGAAACAATGAATGATAGTCAGCATGAGAAAAAATTAATTTTAGCTGAAACCTGTATCGTAGATAGGAGTTATGTTGGTTGCATTTTATTTTAAAATTATGGTACATCACTTGAATAAAAAAAATTTGTTATTGAAATGAAAATTTTATTTTGAATGAATTAAAGTGATAACTTTGCACCACTTTTATCGTTTTGGGACAAAGAAGTATTTTTGTGGTCTTTTAATAATATTCCCTTATTAGTCCAAATTACACTTGGAGAAAAAAAAAATGTTACCTGAACTTTTATAAGTGGAAATGGTAAAAGGGCTTATAATAAACCTAAAAAATATAAAAGCGTGAGGGGAGGGTTGATTTGGGGGGTTGAAAAGTGAAAAATTGTATCATTGGAATTTCTGGCGAAAGTTGACGTCAAATAAAAAAGTATACAACACAAAAGTTGTAGATCATGCAAAAATCTACAACTTTTGTAGAGGTCACTTTTTACGATAACCTCAAAATTTCCGAGAAAAATGTGGAAAACGGTTTTTTCTGATTTTTCGTTATTTATTTCTCATTTCTGCAAAAATAATTTAATTTTAACGAAACTTGGTGAAAGACCTTTCTGTGTCTTAAATAACCACAAATATTTTTAGAATAAAAAGATTGAAACATTGAAAGATAGCATGAAAAAAAATTCGTTATTGAAATGCAAATTTTATTTTGTATTAATTGAAGTGATAACTTTGCACAAATTTTATCGTTTTGGGACAACGGAGCATTTTTGTGGTCTAAATTTAATAATATTCCTTTATATAAATAAATATTTACTTTTGAGGTACAGACTGTTGACGTTTAAAAAAAGCATAATTGGAGTACCTAGATGGAATATTTCAGTGAATAAAAGGATATACTAGAAGACGTTTCAAAAAGTGTATTGATTCACATGGATGCCGTGTAGAACACAGTTTGTACAATTATTTAAGTAGATGAGAAAGTGATAAAAATGAGATTATGTACACTTTTTCTGATTTTGAATAATTCCCCAACTTTCCCCATCAATTTTAAGGAGTAGAAGTAACCATCCCTGCAAATAATTTCTAAGGTACCTTTTCTTCTATCAGCAATTTAATCATTTGAAAATCTGTTATCGATAGCTTTTTTTACAAATTTGATCTCATGTATTTTCTTGAATGTAATAGTTTTTGTGCAAAAAAATATAAAATAGGCCATAGTGCACACAGAATTTTGCTTCGTGGGAAAACTTTTACTACAATAAAAATCCATTTAAATTAATGAAAATAAAAAAGAAATTTTAATTATAAATGGAAAGTTATAAAATAACATGTTGCAAGTGACCACCTCCTACCATTACATTTGATTAAAAATTCCTGGAGAATTTTGAATTACCTACCATACTTGCATCAATAATGTGGTTTGAATATACTTGTATTTGCACAGATACACTGAAGTTTTTATGTAATCCCATATACAAGAAACATATAGTTTTCTGTATAGATTTAAATCCGGTATTTTAGGAGGTCAAATCTGAGGTCTACCACAGCCTATCCAACGATATGAATAGGTTTCATTTAAATATTGTCGTGCTTTTATACCAAAATGGGTTCCATCATACATAAACCAAAGCTGAGTTCTGACACCTAGTATGTCTTCAATCTTCAAGAGGTACTGAAAGTGAGATATCTTCGTTCAATCTAGCTAGCAGATATTGTGGGTTAACTAAGTGGTCTCCAAGAATTTCTATTAATTACTGATTGTCTTGAGAAATTGGCTTCTTCTTCATCTTATCCAAAATGTATGTGAAAGGGATATAAAAGATGATCTTTGGAAATGGCCTATACTGTCATGTGAATGGTTGCAAAGCAATTTTATTTGGCACTGGTGAACGATTCTTCATCAATCAAGTTCAACACAACTTTTTCCTAAGCCATTATTCTATTTTCGTGGTGGCAACTACAGTAATAAATTCTTCTCATGAAAGTTCCAGATTCAGGTAGTAATTTATGGAGGAGTGCAAACAGGTATGGTGATACATTGAGGATACATTTCAGCTTAAAATCGAGATGCTTCTTCAAAGTTACTTACTGTCGTAGAATGTAAAACGAGCGAACTTAGCAAAAACTTTGAAAAAAATCGCGGATGTTTTCAAAATCCCACTCGAAGCTCCGCAGATGACGCGATCAGTCCCTTTTCGTGCCAGAGACCTTCATGGCAATGTAAAAAGATGCGCAGACGAGCGCTGCACACTCTTAACACCATTAGAAGACTTGGAAAAATAGCGGATGTTTTTAAAAATCCGCTTAAAACTACGCAAATGATGCTATCGACGTAAAATCGTCCTAAATACGTCCACATCGATGTCGACAGGCCCGTGAACGAACGCTGTACGCGTTAGACGAACCTGAAAAATCACCGATGTTTCCAAATTTCGACCGTCGAGCCGCCAGGATGAGAGGAAACATGCTAAAAGTTCCTGTTCCATTGGATGATGACACCGACCTGTGCCGAAGCATCCCCGAAGATCGCCCACGAGAAATGAGGAAAACAAAAATTTCGTTCCACTTTCGAAATTTTCACGAAATAGATTAACTTTAAATTTCGCCGCCCACAAGATTTTCGGGTCAATATTAACTTCCATTAAGTTTCGGATACCAAACTATAAGTAAACGACCAGAACCACCAGAAGTGCAAACGTCGCCCTCCGGAATAGGGTGTCCCTAGACCGGACTTTACAACAGTTTCATACAACGAGCTTCTTAAAAGCTTTTGTACAGGCACTCTATGGAGTCTGTCTACGGAGTGCTTAAACATTAGTGAATAAGGACAGTGATTTTCAGACACTAGGGTATCAGACCCGAAAACGTGCTATACAGGGTGATTCTAAAAACCCGAACCAAAACATTTTTTCCATGTGTCCCAAGTTGGAAAAAACCAGTGTTAGGGCTCCGAAGGCCTCATAGGTCGCATCAACTCACAACAAATTAGATCGTGGACTCTCCACCTGAGTATCTTGAACTCACGATGGCGCAGGATCGGAAATCTTATTTTCCGTCGTTGACGACCAAAAGGCCTTACGTCAAGACGGAGCAAAATGAGATGCCGGGGAACCCTCTCACCACCGAGCAGGCGTCTGACGCTGTAGCACCGAGGGTCTACGACCTACTGACGATGCTCAGAGGAGAGCCGACAGGTTTCTTCAATCGGAAGCTGGCGGGAACGAGGCGAATCCGCGCCTGGCGCCCACCGTGGGGCCGCACTAGAGAACCGGCGACCAACCTACTTAAATTCGCGACAAGGCGAGCAACCTGCGGCTTATTACTCAATAAAGCAGAGATCTACGATATTACCATTGGCATATTGAGTAAATTAACCAAATTTTTACACAAAACATTCAAAGTGATGGCAACAATATTAACTACTGTTGTCTGATGTTACTTATTTGCGGTACAGTTTACGGACTTTTTTTGTCAAAAGATGCGTCAAAATCTTTGAAGAAGAAAATTAAAAGTAAAATCATGTTAGTAAAATCATTTTTATTAAACTTAACTTGATTATAACACTAGTAAGAAAAATTGTGAATATAATAAAAATAATAAAATAACGAATTAGTCTCAAAAATGTGTCGTTTTCTTTCCATATATTCGCCGTGCCGCCACATATTCCCCCGCCACTCTCGCCGGTAAGACTAACGCTGTTTTCTTCCCCAGAATCCCATGGGGGTCCGGCAGTCATCTTCCAGCCGCTGCGGGTCCTCTTGGACGTAAAAATAAAATTACCCCGCCACCGAAAAAGCTGGAACGTCGTTATCAGCGCAGGCCTTTCCGCCAAACCCCCTGTACGTGTGTGGGTGGCTCGCACAACTCGCCGCGCCGTTCCCAAACAGTATCGTGTCACCTCTTACCTGGTGAACGCGTGTTCGAGAATTCCAAAGCCGGGGATATCCGGGGGGTAGCCCGGAAGGGGTTGAGTGTGTAATAGTATGTACAGTGAATGT